CGGGTCGGGGATGAGCGACGCTGGAAGGACCCCCAGTCTCCGACATTGCCGTGGGAGGAATAATCTTACACATGCAGACAATCAATACGGGTCCAGCCAGACCCAGAAACGATCTAAAGTCACTTACCTTTGATCTCACAGGGAAGAAGGAAGATGCGACGACGGACCATCAACCTCAGGCGACTCCTCTCACTGACGTTTCTCGCGGTCCATCACCCTGGCCAGGAAAGACAACTACAAGCGTGCAAGCAGGAAGGAGAAGGCTATGCGAGGGACAGAGAAGCGAATGCTTCCCACTGCACACCACCCTCGCAAATTTATAGCCACCAAGATAACCCTGGCAAGCCCATTACTAACCACTTCGATAATCTCACAGAGCAGGTGCAATGACTGGGTGGAAGGCAGAGCGACGGTCGCCCATGCAACGGCTCGAGCCAGGTAAGCCTAGCGCGTTCCCATCTTCCATATTGTTTCGGTTTACGTGCCCTCATTTAGAGAGCGCATTAGTGCTCGCGGGTGGGCACCACAAAGGCGACGTGATTAAGGAGGTCACGCGCCCTAGAATCTGGGCGTAGAGCAAACCACCGCAGACATGACCCCGTGTCACGATTAGGAAATGCACCACTAGGCCGGCCCTTAGATGGGCTGAGTCCACAAAAGGGATAGGGGTAGGGTGAGATGGGCCTCTACGGCTCTTATCGGTGGTGCAGAGCCACACGACCATCTCTCCCTGTGTTCGAGTCGTCCGCTTCGAAGTCACCTGGGTTGACCCCCTCTAGGGGGATGCATCTTGCCCTCTGACGCTGCTGGAGGCGGTCGAGGACCAACGGGTTTGACGGTCGACGATTTATGGGACGTCTCTCGATGAGGCACAGCCAAACTCCACGTTGATTGGGGAGGATATCGGGTCCCACTCGAATTACCCATCTACCCCGACGAGGCGCACCGCTCCGACCACATGGTTACGGTGGAAGAGCCTCTCCCCGCATGGGGCGAAAACCAATCCTGCCTATAATAAGGCAGTACGACCGACCCCTCGGGGTCGGAAAGGACGATAAGGGAAGCATGCAGCCGAGTCTAAGAAACCCCGTCATCCGGAGCCAAGCCACAATCAGTTCCTCTCCCCGTCCCAAAACCACAACCTTGAGCTAGCTCCCAGGCCTCGCGTATCGGCAAGGATCGGCAATCCCCCTTGGGGAGCCCGATGGAGCGGTCGCACAACAGCACCTTCTTCGCGTAGCGGCGCTAGACCTCGTGAAATGCGATAGCAATTCAACCACGCGAAGTCAAGGCCGATCGGTCCTCAGTCGGGTGAAAATCGCTCGGACAAACATGGAGACATGATTGTGGCCTAGCAAAGGATGTCAGACCAAAACACTCAAGAGGAAAGGCCCAAGGTCGCTAAGACAACCTCGCCGCCCCGTACGGCAAGAGATCAATGACCCACTCGAGGTCTGCATCCTTGGGCTCGCGAACCCAATCTTGACCAAACGGTTCAGAACTCAACAAAACCTCACGATAGGTTGCAGGACCCTGAAGAAAGACTTCCTTGAGGGATCTTGTTCGTGTAACGTAATCGCAAAGCACATGCGGTCAAACCGCATACAACAAACACAAAATCAAGAGCCTCACAAATCGTGGGCGCCCCGGCGGAAAGGCCCAAGGTCGCCAGACAACCTCATCGCCCCGCGCGATGAGAGGTCGATGACCCATCTGGAAAGCCTCGACCTGGGGCCCAACAAAACTTTGCGAAAGGGTGCAAGGACTAGAAAACATAATTCCTTGAAGCTTCCGATCACAAGATGATTGCGGCCCCGGCTGCATGCAGAGAAAGATCAGATACCTGATCAACCACAACCAAGGGGCTCGAGCGGAAGGCCCAAGGTTGCCGACAACCTCGTTACCCCGCGTAGCGAGAGGTCGATGACTGGCTCAGAGAACCTTGATTTGGTACTAATAAGCCCGAATCCGTCCAAACGGCCCGGGGGCTCCCCACGGCTTCGCAAAGAACCGCAGAAACTCTAGAAGGAGGATTCCTTGAGCTTTTGTTCATGCTTCATGATTACAAAGCGATGTGCGGTCGATCCGCACACAAGGAATACAAAATCGATACCACCCTAATGGTTGTATCACTGAAAAGCCTTCGGGGAGCGACACTACAGGGGGAGGCGAGACAAAGCAAAAAATGAACTCACAAGCCCTCTTGCAGTGTCGCAACCTCCAAGGAACAGAGCGCGGGGAGGAAGAGAGCGGCAGGATTGCCTAGCTCCAACAAGCACCTTGGCAACCACTCCGGTGCCAAGATGGAGCAAAAGGGAGGCCAAAATGCAGCCGTGTCACAAAGGCTGCATGACCCCATAAACGGTAGCCATGCCATTCTTTCCTTCCCCGCTCGCAAATCCCCTTCTAGCACCAGTGGTTGGAAGGGGCAGCGCTAGCTTTCAGCCACCGCAAATGATCCCCAGCAGATCGCATGCTTGGAACCCCACGGTTCCCTTCAAAATTTCTCTCTTCTCCTTCTTTCGAACTCAGCCTCTCAGGAGGGCTAAAAACAAGTTTATAGGAGTGGCTATAAGTGGTTCAAACGAGAGGGAGGCCCTTATTTATAGGCCCAATGGCGGACTAAGCAGCCTGAGGCATCCACGCCGCATGGCACACCAGGGGAGGTCGTAGCTAAAGTCAGATGCCCGCATAAGGTTCGAGAAAAGAAGACCTTCCCAAAGATAGGACCAGTACAGCATCGACAAGACCACTCGGCCCTACCTGGGTCGCGAACCCCGATTCACGGCACACTAACACAGCAGGGCTCAACAGTTGCACCCACATCATTAGGGCGTCCTGACAGGGTGGGACGAAACAGCCACCTACCGCATTGAATGCACTAGCCCGCAAGGGGTCGAGCGACGAAGCTTGGACAGGCCACGACTACGAACTTGCGAACACGCATCTCATCGCTTTCACGATCACTTCGAGATCACAAAAACTCTCGGGGGCTACTATTGGGGTTATAATCCTCGGGTGTCCCAAGGTATCAAGTAACGGGAAGGCCAGATGACCCACGATACTAAAGCCAAGCTTGAGCCCGAACGACTGAGGCCCAGCTAAGCTAAGCGGAATGGGCCAATCATTGAAGCCGAGGTCGGCCACGACCCCTTCCTCTTTCTTAGCTGCACGCTATGCAGCAACTAACGACCTCTCACCGTCCCGACCCCTGGAAAGAACAGGGAGAGATCGAGTCCCACCAAGCACGCCTGCCCTGACAGGGGCAGGCATGCCATACTAACCCCGCAAGAACCGAGGGGACAGCGGTCACCTCGGCCCGATCAGACGCCATCCCTGCGCCACACCGTAGAGACAAGACAACACCGCCTAGTGATGAAGGCCAATACAGAAAACCACCGTCCATGTATGGTCCGACGAGACGTACGTACGACCCCACCCACTACGGGATAGGATCCACGATGATGGTCTTGACTTAGAGGCTATCCAAACCAACACAGGTCACGACCTCAGAGCTCAGGATCGTGGCCACCAACTCCACAAGCAGCAAGACGATCAACGACCCAGGGGGTGCTACCTACTCTTGTACGACGCCCCCAGACGATCAGGAGGCGATGACGAAGACCACGGCAAGACCACGTCACGCAGGACGGCTAGCGAAACACCGCCATGCCCACAGTACCGCCACGACGGGCACTGTGGCACCACGTCCTACCATGCCGCGACGTGAGCACAGGACCATGACGACAGCCACGCCAAGGTGTACACCACAAGACGGCGTTACTTGCATGCCAAGCTCGCTAGGCCTCTTCCCTCAGGCTCACGACCCTTTGGTCGGGAGAACCTCCATCTCTATACGAGACCTGGCCCCGGACTCTATGTAAGGGCAGCTAGGGCCTCCTTTCGGGGGGACTCACTCTGATCCAATCATTCTTATTCTCACCGGGCTCTTGAAGTTTTCCTTTGAGCAGCCCTTTTCCTAGCTCTAGCTCTAGCTCTCCTCCCTCTTCCACCATTCTTGCACCCCCCATTGTAAGAACTTCAGAGAATTCAAGCGAGGAACACGCACTCTATCATCTCTGAGACTGGATGTAGGGCTCCGACCTGAATCAGTATAAATCCTCGTGTCTTTTGGATGCTACCATCGTCTTCCTAGAGCAGCGCGGCATTCGTATAAATTTACTAGTCCGGTTTATAAAACACCGACAATTAGTATTCGACAATATCCATATTCGTATTCGAATTCGAATTAAAATGTGGTAAATAGAGGTATCCGAATCCGTGTCCGTCCAAATTCGATCCAAATCCATCCCTAAATATGGGACTATAGGCGTGTTTGGGACCATTTAAAATTGGTTCTGCTGCCAATCCATGAGAATCAAGAAAAATCTAGTCAAATGCACTGTGGTACCGATGATTCTTTTCGCCGCACAAGACACAAGGATCACGAGATTGAACTAGCACTCGTGTTTTTCGTGCCACGGGTTGGAGGCCAAGATCACCATACCACACCCCGCGGTCGCCATGCCGCGGTCCCAAACTCACCCTATATCCTAAAAGTTATCTGGATTCAACATATGTACCCACATATACTAGAATCTCTTGTAAAGAACTGTGTCATAAACCAATCATCACCATCATCCTGTACACAAAATCACTACTCAGGACTGAGGACAAAGAATGCCAAAATTGTGAATTAAAAATAACAAAGTGAGATCCGGTTAGGCCAGCGCTTACAACACTTACAAAGATATTCACCCTCCTATATTGCTAACCCATGTGAGCGTATTCGACAAATATGATTTGAGTTTCTGGTCATATGTTACAGATGTTGACTGAACAAAACTTGCTTCCAGACAAAAATCTATAAATTCACTGCAGAGTGATCAGCTCAGAGTACCTTGCATCAAACAAAAGTCCATGCAAGTTGTGATCTATCCTCAGTACAAAAAAATTTGACCTGGGAGTAGAATAGTTCTGAAATTTACAGATTCCTATACTCACAGTAGTGCACCAAAATCTCCACAAGAGCATTGTCCATCCTTGAACTTGTGAAGCCGTTTACTGTCCCGGACAACAATCTCTCTGTTCACAAGCAATGAAATAAATTTAATTGAGCTGTGGCAGTCCCTGCACATGGTAATGTTCTTTGTGATGCGAACTGTTGCACCTGGAGGTGTTTGGATCAGCCCCAGTGCAACAGCTAACCTCTCACTGTGGTGTCTTACTGAACCTGCAGGAGGCTTCTCGTCATCCTCGCTGTCACATAACTCAGCGTTCTGGTATGGTTCAAACCCAATGGTCTTAGCTTTCTCAAGCAAATTCTCCAGCAGTTGATACAGCTCATCACTAAGTTCATGAGTCTTATCATTAGCTCTGAAGAAATAGACCTTGTCTTTGATTGTAATCCAGCTGCGGTCTCTAAGAATCCCAAGATCTTCCTGTTTCATCAGCTTCCGCACTCTAGCCACATCATGCCATCTCCCATTAGAAATGAACATGTTCAACAGTAAGACATAGGTTTCAACTCCTTTTGGCTTGAGCTCAAGCAGTCTATCAGCTGCATAGAACGCAAGCTCCATGTTTCCATGGCTCCGGCATCCAGCAACCAAGCTAGACCAGATGGCTTCATTTGGTTCAAAACCCGTCCTTTTGATGAAGGAAAATGCATCGTCCAATCGGCCCAAGCGTACAAACATGTCAATCATGCACCCATAGTGGTCCACAACAGGCTCTATTTTGTACTCTTCCTTCATCATGTTGAAGTAGTGCTCAGCCTTCTCAACTAAACCAGCATAGCTGCAGGCTGAAAGCACACTTACAAATGTGATTTCATTTGGTTTCACTCCAGCAAATCTCATGTCCTCAAAGAGTTGTATGGCTTCCTGGGGGTGGCCATGCTGTGAGTACCCTGAGATCATAGAAGTCCATGTGACAAGAGTCCGTGTCGACATCTCGACAAAGGCTTTAGTTGCGTCTTCAATGCAACCACACTTGTTATACATGTTTACCAGTGCGCTGTTCACCACGACATCTGACAGGAAACCAGTCTTTATCGTCTGTGCATGGATTTGCTCACCCTGCTCTAAGGCCATCATGACACTGCAGACAGACAGGATGCTTGAGAAGGTGAACAAATCAGGCTTCATTGCAGACCTCTTGAGGTTGCGGAAAATCTTGAGTGCCTCGAAACCTCTAGAACGAGCATGAAGATCATCCTTAGCAGTCTCCATGATCTGAGCATAGCCTGAGATCATCGCATTCCACGTGATAATACTGACATCATCCATCCCTTCAAACAACTGCATGGCCTCCTCAGTTTCACCCTTTCTCAAATAGAGGTACATCGTCGAGTTCTTTACTGGAATGTTTGTGTGGCACCCAATTTTGAAGCACAAGGCTTGGACTTGCTTGCCTAGGTTAAGATCTAGCCTTGTACCACACAAGCTCATGACACTAGTCAAGGTAAACTCATTGGGAATCACTCCATCCATAAGCATATCAAGGAACAGAGTCAGTCCAAGCTCCGTGTAGTTCTCACCTTCAGCACAGGCAGATATCATCGTCGTCCATGTGATGACATTCTTGTCAGGAACCATCCGGAAGGCCCTCATGGCAGATTCCCAGTTCCCAGACTTGGCATACAACCGACAGAGCGAGTTCCCTATGCTCGTTATGGACAGGGCATCATACTTAATCGTGTATCCGTGAACCTGATTGCCCAGGTCAGCATTGTTGGAAGCAGAGCATGCATTCAACATGGCGCCCAGCGTGTAATGAGAAGGATACCTCCCGGCCTCCAGCATCTCTACAAACACCTCGAGTGCCTCTACCAGCTGAGAGTTAAGAGTGTAGCCTGTGATGAGCGCGGTCCACGTCACAACGTTCTTCTCAGGCATTTGGTCGAACAGGCTACGCGCGTCCTGGCTCGCCCCGCACCGCATGTAGGCATTGACAAGAGATGTGGCGACGAACATGTCCGCGCTGGTCCCCGTCTTCACCATGTGCCCGTGCAAGGCCCTGGCGCCGCCGAGGCTGCCGGTCTCCACGCACCCGTGCAGCAGCGGCACGTACATCGCCGACTGCACCGTCTTCCCCTCCCTGAGCATGTCCATTGCTTCCCCAAAGTCGAGAGGCCGCAGCGGCGCTTCCATGGTGCCGCCGTTCTGCGCTGCCTGGATGCTCCTGCCTTTCCAATTGTTCTGCAAAGTTGGGAGTAAATGGGTGAGCCAATCGATACTTCGCCCGCGGTCCTAGCAACCGACTGTTCTGCAAATACGGCCGAACGAAACTTGGAGGGTTCTTGAATTGGATTTTAAGTGAGGAAAAGGGACAAAGAGAAGAGAAAGGGTCCGGTTACCTTATCGGTGGCGGCGACGGAGCTCGGTGGCGGCCTCCTGGAGTCAGCCCCGCCGGCAGCCGGGAAGCCCGAGGCGACGACGGGGACGGTGACGGAGGGCACGGAGGCCATTTGGCGGGGTCAGAGGGGAGGATGAAGCGAGGGGAGCATCAGTAGTGGCAGCCGGGGGTGGGAGGATGATTTGTGGTGGCAGGTGGGAGGCGAGGACGGAGCAAAGGAAGGGGATAGAAAGTTTATAGTGAGTTATCTCAGATGGGATTGCTCGTGCTCGTGCTCAGCCTGACGAAACGGCGAAAATGAACCGATTCTGTAAAATTCATATATGATCCTTGTATAAAAAAAAGTAATGGAAGAAAATTATATTAAAACTTAGCATACTATATATCTAAAAATCTCTATTTTGATATAAAAAAATCTCTATTTTAATAAAGGGTCTAAAAACATAATTGCTATTCATTATGAGCACCACCAAGTTTTCCAATCCCATGAACCGGGATCGCTAATTTGTGATTTGATCACTAGTTCTCCACGGTTTACCATGATGCACGATAAAATATCATATGCACCAAACTACCGGTAGCTTTATCCAATCCGTAATGACGACATCAGCAGGATCACCTCGACGCCTTTTGCCACCCTAATCTACTGGATTTCTCTTGCCCTAGTCTCGTGTCGTCCATCCATCTATCTTCGCCTCCTGTAACTAGCGTGTGTGAGACCTCACACCCTATAGCCTCCGGGTGATAACTAAATGTGCATTAGGGCCTAAACAATTCATCATTTGCATCATTAAGCATAACATCATAATCTTGTTTGTTAAGCATTAAGTTATATATGGCTAAACTCTTTTCTCAACCTCGCCTCGCATGGTCTGACCGTAACACAAACGGATTTGACCAACACTTGTGTTGACTTACACATTGCAGCAGACCTACCTAGTTTAGCCCAACTAGAACATACTTGTCAACCTCTCAACATTTAGGCAAACTCGACTCGAGCCAAACCTGGTAGTATGTCAGTCCAACTCGTGGAAAGATTTGAAGCATCCACTTTTTACTTGTCCATGACCATATCCTTACAAAGCTTTTTCAAATCCAAACACAGTTCAACACACATAAACAAGTACTTTAAATACAAAGTTTGCATCAAAGTTCATTGAAAGATTGAGTTCGAACAACAAAATGTTTGCAGGAGGTTCCAATGGATCTTGGTGGACCTCTTCGGTGGACTCGGGGGACTTCTTTTATTTTCGGAAATTACTTGTAGAGGTGGGCAAAAGACCTGTCTCCATTAATACTGGATTAACACAAGCTCTCTATCGTAGACTCAGCTATGTGCCATTTTCCTTACCCCTCTGCGTCTAGAGGAGGACAAGGTGCTAGGATTTAGGCCGTTTTCAAAATTAATCCGAAAAGAGGATAAGCTATGCCATGATACAAACCAAAGTTAACCATGACCAGAGGATACCAAAATCCTTCACTTTCAAATTGTCTAAGAGTGGCCCGTCACTTCTTATGGACAGGTTTCGTACCTATTCTAAGGGTCTGTTTGGCTCCCCATGACTAAAATTTAGCTACTAAAATCAATGACTAAACTTTAGTCACCCCTGTTTGGTTCTAGTGACTAAAAGTGACTAAAGACCATTAAAGCAGTTCAACGAAGACCAAACTACTCCTAATGAATGCCCAAATCAAGATAGGGGACCAGCAATAATGAGAGGCAACCCTTGTCCACCGGGCACTTTAGCTCACTTTTAGCTACTCTTAGGTGACTAATGTGACTAAACTACTTTAGTCCATTTTTAATCAGTTTGTTTAGCACTTTAATAGCTAAAGTGACTAAAGTTTAGTAGCTAAATTTTAGTAGGGGCAACCAAACAGGCCCTAAGTGCTACAAGTAGTGACGGGATGAAATTACAACATTTACTCTATACAGTAACGGCCCTTTTGTCCGACCAGGGCCCAAAAGTAAATGGGAAGAACAAAATCTAAGAATTCACAAACATAGTTTTTTCTAAGACCCGGGACATTGTCCAGCATATATATTAGTAAGAATTTTTTTTGAAGAAATATTAATAAGAAGAATTGGCGCAAAACATCAGCATCCTCTAGCAGACCACTAGATGAGCTGGAAAAAATGACATGTACTCACTAACGTTCGTGCCGACTAAATCCTCTAAGCCTTTTGCCCCCGCTCGTATCCAGGATGTTGCTTCGTCTTGCAGTCTAGAGAGAACTCTCTCAGCTGAGACTTGAGAGGCTTGCATTTCGAAAGATTGTATTGTCAACCATATAGCATACCAAGTCCCAGGTTGACAACTTGTGCCAGGTTTTGAATAGTTCAAGCCCACCGATTTGCCAAGTTAGAGCTGAGCCTGTTCGCTTGGTCGTGTTTGGCTTATAAGCCATGACTAAAAGTACCGTTGGCTGATTTGGTGTGAGAGAAAAATATTATTCGTTGGCTGAAAATAAGCCAAAAACAAGCCAAACAAGCCCAAACGAACATGACGTTACATGGTCAACCGCAAACAAACAGGGCGTTACATGGTCAACCGCAAGAACGGTGTGGCATCACATCAACTAGTGTCATTGCTATCCTATTTTTATACAATATGTCACCATGCAATCATGGTGAATGAACGTATACAAAATTTGAAGCGTAGGAAATAGATTTCAATTAGACCGCCAACGCTAACCATACCCAATCAATTGAACTTTCTTTTTGAAGGGGATACTCTCATGACCAATTTTCTATATTAACCAACGGCACACAAATGCAAGCAGGTCCATCTCCAAGCATACAAAACAAAATTCGCAGTCAAGATGTACTGCAAAAATATTCCAACAGAAAAAGAATTTTTCAACTAACAGAGTTAGAGAAGATTAGACTATGAATTAACAAAGCACATGTTGAGCTGGCAATGTGAAGCGTGAAAGCACGAGGCAGCATGAACAGGTCTTCAGAAGCCAGTTCAACATTTCCAAAGTCTTCCCTCTCCTATATCTGTTAGTCGTGCCCCTCTTCACCCCTGGAATCATTTCGCCATCTTCTTCTTCATCCCATTCTAGCTCCTCTTTTGGAAGGCCTGAATCTCTCTTGCTTCCTTGGCATCTCGTAGCAAGGAGTTACTTGGACTTGAAGAACAATGGCAGTGAGTTTCCTAATAACCCATCTCTTCTTTTATTTTGCCTTTCATGCGTCCGATGACCTTACCAGCCTAAGAAAGGTTTGCCAGCCATGATTGCTCTCTGGCCTTCACAAGAAATTCGTTTTCGTACCATTCATAACAAATGGAAACAGACAAATAAAATTTGTTGAGTTTTCAGTTAGCCTATGCTGGGCCTGGTGCAAGCGGTAGAGTCTTACCGCCTGTGACCGGAAGGTCCCGGGTTCGAGTCGCGGTCTCCTCGCATTGCACAAGCGAGGGTAAGGCTTGCCACTGACACCCTTCCCTAGACTCCGCACAGAGCGGGAGCTCTCTGCACTGGGTACGCCCCTTTTTTCAGTTAGCCTATGCTGTTTTAGTTAAATGGAATTCACACACAAAAAAAATGGTTAGTGTCATGAAGTTAGAGATGATTAAACAAATAGAAATGGAGTAACTCCTTTTGATCTATGTAGCTTGCCGACTACTCCCAACTATGTAATCCACTAATCCTCATGGAACCATGTTTTGCCCTGGCTCTGTTCAAATACAGGGGGCAAAAAAGGAAGTAGCCTTTGACAAATTTTGGTGTACACTTTTACTGTTTTGCACAAGGCCACTGCAGAAAGTTAGAAACCATTTGAAGCTACTTCATTTTGATTAGTTCTTTTAGAAGCATGACGAGTCTACTTAATCTCTATGGAAACCCCTGCTTTGCCATGTGCTCTGCATAGAACAGGGTACCAAGGAAACACATCCCATTGAAGTTTACTCTCTCCAGGGACCAAAAGGATTTTTTCTCTGTTGAATATGTTATCCTATTGAATGTTTTGAAGTTTGATTTTGCATTTTTTTGGAAACTATTTTCCTTCTGGTGAATTGAATGTATTGGTATCCTTGACTATATTTGCTAATAATATGCTGTTGGAACCTGCAACTTGTTACCTATTTAAAGAGGATAACAAACAATTTGAAATGATTTAATCCTAGTAGTACATGACGCCCAAATGAAGATCGGATAGTTCCTATTTTTCATCTTCAGTTGAGCTACTTGTTTCTCGGAATAACCTCATCATATGTTATAATTTGAGTTATCACATTTTGTTCCCCTTTTTTTGTTCTTTTGGTACCATTTTCTTCTAAATGCAATTAGAAACGAATAAATTTTTCATTGTGCACTCCAAAAAGATGCTGTCCAACTAATGCTAATATGTGTGTATATATATGTATGTTGCAGGGTAATGGTGGGAATATCCCCAAATTTGGTGAGTGGAAGACCACTGACGGGGGCTCCCCGTATACCATGTACTTTGAGAATGCGAGGAAGCGAAGGAACAACAGTGGCATATCGGTTCCCCCTGAGGCATCTCCAGCTCGCACTAACACTGTCCCAAGTGGCCATAGAACCCCTCCACGAGCTCCTGATGTCAAGCCACTGAGACAACAGGACGGCGCCAACCGCTCGCGAAACCAAGCCAAAGTGAGTAAACTCAAACGGTCTTTTCACATGACCTCAGGAGGAGCCTCCTGAGGTTTGCCGGGTATGGCATGTAGGTCGAACATAGAAAGCCTTAATCCTTTTTTTATCATGAACGTGCCTGAGCACGTGTTTCATTAAGAGGAAGAAAGAATTATATCCAACAACAATCCATGATCCTAGAAAGTTTAGGCTTGCCAAGATCATTGATCGGAAGGCATGACATACACGATCCCTTGTGAGACGAATCTTAGGAGGATCAACATCAGAGTTTATGTTATTATAGAAAAATAATTTGCAAGCAGCTGAACACAGAGAAGTGAAATATAAGAAAGCTTAATACTCGTCTTATTTAGAAAATGAAGGAGCCTATTGTGGTAACTTATTTCAGAATTCAAATTCTTATATGTGTGCGCCCAGGGTTTTCAATTTCGGTATTTGAAAATTTTCAGCCACCCCCTGAAATTACCTAAATTCACAAAATTTCAGTGAAATTTCGTCGAAATTTTTATAGGGACTACAATAAGTATGTTTTTCCAAAAATTTTAGATCTCTAAACAAAATATTAGCAACATTTATGACTACACATCTATTGAGTAGAAGAATATGTAACATAAACAATAGAAAAATGAGTCTAAAGTTATATATTTACATCATAATATGAAGTTTTGGATTTTTCTTCAGCCACCCCTGAAATTCAAGAAATTTTGTCGAAATTTTGAACCCTAGATGCACCACTCGCTTCACATTTTACGTGTGTGTAGGAATGAAAACAAGAGTGAATTGAACTGAACATAGATTTACCCAATATCATACAAATAACATGTTACTCTACGATGTGAATTGGAGGCTAATGTATGTAATATGAATAGGCTGCACAAGGTAGCTCAGTGCCAACATGGGGCCAGTGGAATGAAAGCAACAGTGGTGCAGGTGCTCAGCAGTATACACTTGTGTTTGACCAACTAAGGGAGGAAAGGAGGAGTGCTCCTCCAACACCTAGCATCGAGCAACCACAACAACCTACTCAGAATCGATCCACTCAACACGATCTCTATGAGCATGCACCCAAGGTGCATTTTTGCATTTTGGTTTCTCCTTCATTTTAGCATCCTTTCATAATGTTCAGAGTTAATGAACTCGTGCTCACCCCAAGTCTATTTTTTTAGATTAATGATACTGAATTCTTGAAAAACATATTTTCCATTGCAGGGATTTAAATGTTGTGGGTTGTTTTGAGAGAATGGGCCGGGCCTTATGGCCAATACAATGCAAATGTGATGTGTAAATGACATAATTACATCTCATATTCTCCAGATACTTTAATATTTGAGCAAGGCCTTAATAGTGAATTCAGACCATCAAGATGGTATACATGAATCTTGAAACTTCCAGCGATCTTCATAGACTTTTGAAAGTGGTGATGATGTATGTGTATCCACATGTACATGCCAAAGAACTATTTTCATGTAAACAATGAGTTGTTTCATCAATCTGTACCACGTTGCTAGAAAGTTCCACCTGATGTAAGATTTTTATGATGATGAATACATCAAGTAACAAATGATGTCGTATATACAATTTTCGTGTTATTTTTTCTCTGTTATAAAATATATTTTTCTATCATTTAAATATTTTTCCAAATATTTGACACTGCCATTTAGAGATTGAGCTTTCTATATACATGTCACCCTTTTCATTGCCGACGCTTTCACTGTCCTAGTAAGACCATTTACTACTAGGAAAAAAGGTTACCATACTCCATTTCCCTTTCCCACAAAAGTTAAATTAGTAGCCTACTGATTGGGTTTTAGGAGGGCTATATGGTACTTAGTGAAAAAAAAACTCTGTTTAGCAGGCGCAGCCGAGCAAGAGCAAGGAGCAACAGGGCAGGGCAGGGCCGCACCTGTGGCGTGGGGGCTGGCCGTCTGGCCGGTTGGGGCCTAGCGGCGCCCGCGGGGGCTCTGGCCGCCTGGCCTCCTAGCCGCACCGCATAGGGCCTGGCCGGCCGGGCTGCGGGCGGACGCCGCACGCCGGGACACCTGACGCGTACCTGCAGCAAGCAGCGCCAGAGGCGGGACCGCGGGAGGGGCGGAGGGCCGATGGAGAACGGAGGTGGAGACGCCGGGCGCGGAGGCAGAGCGGTGGCCGGTGCGTCGCGCTAGCCGCCTCGCCGGTCTCCGGTCGGGGCTGAACCTCTGGAGTCTTTCTCCCTATGGGCTATTCTTGGGCCAAATTTTTCCCTTTTTTTTGGGCCCGATCCGGGCCGTAGCCCCCACCTCCTCCCCCAGGCCGGGCCCATGTCGGCCCCTCCCGTTGAATGACGAGCGCGATAAACCTGGAACCAAATCGTTCTTTGGTTGCCCGCACGAATCCGATACTGAAAATGCTCCTACAATCACCTCTCTTGTAACCGCCCTTCTGCAGTCGGACACGGGACACCGCCCGGAACCCAAGGCGTTATAAAAAGACACCTCGATTACACCCACCCGCCTCTTCTTCGCCCGCCGCAGGAAACACATGTCCTCGAGCTCCACTCCGCCCGCCAACAATAACAGTGTGTGCCGCCACAATCACCGCCACCATGGCTGTCCTCGCCACAAAGAGCCGCCCCAGCGCCGCCGAAGAATGCAAGGATCGCCGAGGAAGAAACGGCCGCCACAGCGCTGCTGAAGAATTGAAGGATCGGCCAGCTGGAAGAAACGACAAGGTGCGGATCACTTCCATAGATTCATACGAGATGGTTAAGAAGATCGGTGAGGGAGCGTACGGAGCCGTCACGAAGGCCCGTCACATCGACTCCGGCGAGACTGTGGCCATCAAATCAAGCATCAACGCCGGCGGCGAGGCGGCGGCGGCATTACTGCGGGAGGCCGCCATGCTCGCCGCGTGCGCCGGCAACCCTGCTGTGGTGCGGCTCAGGGAGGTGGCTCGCGGATCGGATCTGCACGAGCTCCACCTCGTCATGGACTACGTCGGCCGGAGCCTCGCCGACGTCATCAGGTCGCGTCGCCGCCGCGGACAGTGCTCCTTCTCTGAATCGGAGGCGCGCGGCGCCATGGCGCAGCTGCTGGCCGGCGCTGCGACGATGCACGCGCACGGCGTCATCCACCGCGACCTGAAGCCTGGAAATGTGCTCGTCAGCGAGAAGGACGGGCGGCTCAAGATCTGCGACCTGGGACTCGCGAAGTCCGTCGTCGCGCCGCCCACGGACATGGATCTCGAAGGCACGCTCGGCTACATGGCGCCGGAGCTGCTCCTGTGCCAGAAGGACTGCGGCGCGCCCGTTGACATGTGGGCGCTAGGATGCATTATGGCAGAGATCGTTGTTGGAGAACCACTCTTCACGGAGGAAGACTTATGCCAGCAATTGATCAGCATACTTCACCTCCTCGGGATTGCTGACGACATCTCGCTAATGCCACTGGGTGTCTCACCACCAAGCAAACTACGCGAGAGGGTGCCGGAGGAGGAGCTGTCACCGGAGGGATTCGACGTCCTGCAAGGCCTACTGGAGTACAACCCCAAGGACAGGCTCACCGCCGATGCCGCGCTTAAAAAGCTATGGTTTGCAGCTAAGGATAATTGACAGATAGATGTTGGAGCGACACAAAGAGAGACGCCAACATGACTGTAGTCTTACTGTGTTATTAGGCTGAGGTAGTTGATGTACTATAGATTATTGTTTAATTTCCCTGTGTCATCCAGTTTATTTGATGATGATGATGATGATTCAGTGGGCAGACTGTAGTGTTACTGTGTTATTAGGCTGAGGTAGTTGATGTACTATAGATTATTGTTTAATTTCCCTGTATCATCCAGTTTATTTGATGATGATGATTCAGTGGGCAGAAGCTTTGGTTTAGCCGCAGAATTGTATGAAAGTTTTTAGATTGTAAAACTGCAATCCCAAACTCCAGTTGTACTGACCTGTAAATATACACTACTAATTTTGCAAATGCGCATGTTTATTATGTTGTTTCTGGAAATTTTTATGAGTGTACGTTCATTGTTGATTGAGAATTCTGAAATTTTGTTGAGCCATGGAAGTGAAGCCACTCCACCGGGAGCTAGACACTACCGGAAGTGAAACCACTCCACCGGCAGCTAGACACTACCGCCCCTCGTGACCGCATAGGCCCCGCGCCCCGAACACCCCCCCCCACACACCCCAGGCAATGAGCGTCTCAGCAGCTCCCCAGGTCTCCCAGGCAAAGCAGGGTCCAGGTATCCAGGCAATGAAGCGTCTCAGCAGCAGGGGGGCTCAATAACACTCTCAGCAGCAGTGGCAGCTAGTATGATTGCGATGACTCAAGGGCATTCAGCAGTGATGTCAAACGATGTGTTGAAACGTAACAGATCACAAAACATCATCACAGGGTAGAAGGCGAATAGGCAAACATAATATATCTGATTCATACTATCAATTAGGTGCATTTTATTGCAAAACCTCTATAACCTTCCTCTCAACATAATCCATCACTTTTTGCACAAGGGATAAACAAGAAGGATGCACAATGATAAAGACAACACAAAAAAACTAAAGCTCCACGCTTCTCACCCCTGTATACAACACATATACCACCCACTCCAAAAACGGTGCTGTAAACACCACAAGCCTCTATTCCTGGGTTCTATTATCCGAGCAAACTTTATGCTCCACATTGATATTGAATCGCCACTTTGCTGTCTCCTTATGCAGAAATCGAACTCCTTTTGGTACCTACAATCCATCTACTGACCAAAATGTTACAACCAGAATCTGGGCCCTCAGGTCATCTTGCTGCCTGGGTCCTCAGGTCATCTTGCTCTGGATTTGCCTGTGGACATGCACCAGGAACTCCACGTAGGAGAAGACGCCAGGCGCCTTGTCCTCTATTAAAAATGACCGGAAAAAATCACCTGCAGGGAACCCAATATTCATTTAATCAAACGTAACACCTAGTGGGGTTTTTTCTTTATTCAGTACAAACAATAATTAGGGGTTAATAACAGTCAGCTCATGAGTTGCCAAGAAGACTAACCAGATGGTTCACCCCTTCTGCATAGTCTTAACCTCAAGTATGAGCACCTCTGGCGTCTTATTTCATTTACAACTTCGTTAACCTTCCTCGAGAGTTCGTTGTCAAATTGATCCAATGCCAACTGCAGGAAATTCATTTGCCAAGTAACTATGACAGACATAGTAATGTTGTATAACCTTAACATTCAGAGAGTATATTCCGTATTGTTATATTCTAGCCACACAAGGAATGATAAACCCAACAGCTTCAAGATAGTAAGAGAAATTGTAAACAGACTTGCCTGGACTGGTAATGCAGCCAAAGAAGAGACACCAAATATTTGTTCCAGGGTAGCTGGATTTACCATATTTCCTAAATAAATTAGACCATCCTCACCATTCTCCAATAAATAGATCCCATCCTCTTGTACATTTTCACTATTGAGCATAAGGGGACTGGGTACAAGGGAATCATCATCATCCTGAAAATAGTGTCCAAAGTTTAGATAAGTTTCCCTTAAGAAAGGAAGATCAGGAATTTGTTATAGCTTTGATTAACATGGCAAATTACCCTTGATATGAGATCATGGATAGGAATCAATCTAGGGAACACCAAAGGAACAGCTAGTACTACAGAAATTGACGAGACTAGAGATATCCAATAGGAATGATCATCCAATCGCCCATCAGTTCTCAAGCCTACACTTTTGACCAGTGCTGAAAAATAAAGTGAAAATATGTTAGTGGAGTAAATGGACAGGGAAGGAACAAGTAAAACACTCACAGGAGGAATCATACCCAAAGTATATAAGGGCAGCAGTTTTAGAGCCTCTGGGAGAATCAACTGCCCCGATGAGGTTACAGATGCACAGTGTTTGCGGTAAGATTGAAGAATATTTATGCATGTATTTGTTGCTTCATCCCGAATACGAGGTAATGGAGATGTCGGGATGCCATTAGCAGCTGTATAGTACAAGAATGTCAGTATCATCCAGATACCACAGGCGATGAGATTGAAGACAGTTTCATTCGTGGTAATTTTGCTAGCCAGAAAAAGTGAACTGTTTTGATTGTTTACCTTGCTTCAGGAAGCATGCAAACTGTGTCTCCAAATCAGCACACCGGAAAAGATTGGCAAGCAAATTTGTGCATGAAAGTGAGAGGTTTATGACTCGGATCCTCCTTTGTCCATATACAGTAGTATAGAGAAGTGCACACTGAAAAGTGCCAGGAAAAGAATGTCAAGAACATAAATGTATAGAAAACTAACCATTTTAGCAATTAATCAAACATAATTTCAATACCGATGCTAGACGACTCATAAATAAATCATTAGTACATGTACATAAGAACGAGACAGGGCAAGATCTGTAATTTTGAAGATAAGCATAAATCCTCGATGTGACACAGAAATTATGGTATTCTTAAATTCTTAAACTAAACCAAGCACATAGCACAGTTTCAGAATCTACAAGCAAATTGTATAACTAACAATGGGTGGTAATAAAACACTACACAAAAAATTGCAAGCTGATGTTCTGATAATTTGCCATAAAATTGCACTTAAATAAATTATTTAAATTTGTTGAGGAAAGTTCCAGATTTTATTCAATTTTCTTTTTGAACTAAAGAATAATTTAAAAGTAATTTCCAAAGCTTAAAAGCAAATGTTTCTTACAGACTAGTTAGTAGTCGGTAGTTTCTCTACAGTAGATTGTTTTCCTGGGTCAATTCTATGTCTTATACGAAGATAATAACACAACACAGCCAAGGTCCTAGTCCAGCATTTCACCAGTGGCCCATCAGGGTCTCATAAATGAGTTAGAAAGTAGAAGGGAGCCTTGGACCGATACTAGCAAAGCAAGTGGCAAATAGATACCAGTAACCAGTTTACCAAACCCACAAAAAAGGGTAACAAATGCTAGTACATGCTGAATTCTTGCGTCTCATAAAAAATATCAACTATTTTCCAACCCAAGATTTTGCTATGCATTTCTCTTGACTGAGCATTCTCAGACCACCTAAGATGCTAATGTAGTACTTCAACACCAGGGACATGAAATGCATTGCAAAATTATCATGCGAAAAAACTAATCCAGAACAAAAAAAAAAAGGCAGACACAAGCTAAAGTAAAGAGAAACATTCATTCCATCTCATAAATACCTGGAAGCCACATTCCACATTTTCTGGTAACTTGTCATCATGCTTAAACGTGACCATCACAGTTTTGTCAGAATCAATCTGCACCCAAAAAAAATCTCTTTTATTGTAGGGATTCAAAGGAAGTATAAAACACGAGACATTGAAATGAGAAGGATGGTACAAACCTCGAACATGCATGAATAACAGAATACATAAAAATATTAATAGTTAATATAATAGCCTAAGCATCAGATACAAGGAACATGCTTTGCATATATTATTATCCAAAACAAAACTCCAATGCAATTTAAGTCCTTCCGTCTACCACCATATCCATTTCTATTATTTATCAAAGTAAAATAATGTTAACATTCAACCATAGTGGCAAGCTTCATATCACAAGTTGACATCAACAATTTTAACAAACTTTGCTGTACATCAGCATTAATTACTGACCGCTGGAAGATCAATGTCAGTGGGAACACGCTTGCAGAAATTGCCAAAATAATCCTGAACTTGGAGACCCTGATGAAGAGGCGAGAAGGATAAGTCATATTCAAGCTCCTAACATAAAGTGCCAAAAGAAATGACTTAAAATTAAACCCACCTGACTGCACCTTACACGCATAACAGCCTCAAAACCCTGGGGTCTACTAATATTCCATCTGAGATCATTGAAGAGCTTGGCTGGATCTGAAAGAGCAGAAAATGGATAGTAGTAGTAGACCTGCAAAAAATATGCCCAATAAACTGTCAGAAATAATCATAAGAAAAAATAGAGTTTAACAAAAGTACAACATTGAGATGAAAATGATAATATATTGTTCCCTTTTGTCTTTTTCTATGTCCCAGGTACAACAATATTTTCCGCCAATATTTGTCATTGAAACAATTCCTGGAGTTTAACAAGAATTAACCTACCTAGTCATATATGCACCAATGGTTTTCCCTCGAACCATTGAAACAATTCCTGGAGTTTAACAAGAATTCACCTACCTAGTCATATATGCACCAATGGTTTTCCCTCGAATATTTAGAAATCTAAATATTCAGCTCATTCTCAAAGCATATTTCAGTTGTAAGCTACCCATGTAAGACAGCTAGCCTCCCTTCATTTTCTAGGTTGCCTAGGCAAGCACGCCTAGTAGACAAGTTCCCAACACTAAAAAGAACAAACATACCCTAACGGTCTTAAACGCTTCACAATTTAGAAACCGTCAAGCCAACAGAATCAATTGTCTATGAACCACAACATAGATGGCAAACTCAGATCAAAAGACTATATTTCAGATTATGGACACATAATTATGTTTGCACTTCTACGAGTATTTATATAAAGCGTTCATGCAAAGCCCAACCACAATGGTCTCTTCCTAGACTAAAGACAATCAACATGGTTTATATGTTTTAGGGAGAATGCCTACCCGGCCACCTGTAGTCTGAG